TTTTGCCGCCAACGCACTTTTCGAGATAAACTTTTTCGATTTCAAAATCCTATCAAGTGCTACAAGTTGGCAAAAAATGAAAAAAATCTGAGAAGTCAAGGTCTAATCTTGTGCGATTTGGCATGGAGTGGCCCCCATGCATCTCAAAACTTCATAACTGAGCTTGCCTACCTCTTAGTCTTATGCATTTTTTTTAAAACAGTAACGCTTCATGGACCAGAATGTATATACTACTTTATATGTATATTTCTTTTTCTTAGTAAAAATGTATCTGTCCAAACTTTGTATTGGAAGAATTTTTGATGGAATACAGAAATACTGGGTCCCGCCAGCTGCTTGTGCTTTTGCCCTGCTACTAACAGATTCGAAATTAAATACAGCTTTTAAGGGACCTTATTCTTTTACTTAAAGTTATTACCACACTTCTTATCAAGTTTGCTACTTTTCTTATAAAGTTGTTACCAATTTTGTCTAAGAAGAAGTTGTAATTAAATGCTGTGGACTTGTTTTGAAAGATTTCGAGATATGTAAAAGGATTTATTATTAAATCATTTTAAAAATTTCAATTTAAGTGTTGTTCGTTGTACGATTCTGCTTTTACAGTCGATACGGAAGGATTAGTTGAAGCCCGCGGTTGCTTGTTCAGGAAAACATTAAATTGGATGTTTGCAGCAGGACGGTCTTTTTTGTTCTAAAGCTTAATGGTAGAATTAGCATCTTCTCGCTGCTATTTCAACAAGATCTTAAATCTTAATCGAGATGGAAGTTTCAAGTTTGCTATTTCTGTAGTCAAGATTTGGAGAGTTCCGTGAATTATGCTGTGTGCATTCTTTAAAAAGGTTGGTGTGAGTTGGGGCCATAAAGCTGACAATCTGGAGGGTGAAGTTGTGAAGGTGTGGAGAATAGGGTACTTTGTTGCAGGGTAGTTCTCAAGAGAATTTTGTGTTCAGATTTTAAGTTTTACTCGTTTTCAAAATTTGCTGGTCAGTCAGGAGTGAAGTGGGTTTGTAAATGCCATCTTAATTTCCAAAGTAGCAAAGTGCTGAAGATTTATTGTACAACATGGAAGATTTTTGACAGTTTTAAGTATTCCATTCTGTGCTAAGTAGGTTTTACAGACTTCCAGACAGACAGAGGGTTATCAGAAGGCTGGAGTTTGAGAGGACGTGACAACCGTTGGAAGATCATGCAGAACTGTCTAGTGGCAGAAATTCCTGTATACCACTGCATCTTCCATTCTTAACATCAAACCAGAAAAATCAAATGTGATGAGATGCGGTAGTATTTGATAACGGTTTGGTGACTACTAGTCTGAAATTAGGACTTACCAAAACCAGGTTTTTATCTCAGTTGAAAGAAGGAAATCCCCGACAATGTTAAATACACTGAACTTCCTTACGCTTAGAAAAATACAACGAAGATATTCTCTATTGACAATATAGCAGTTATTTCGACGCACGTGTCAGAATTTTGAGATATCAGTTTCCATCACCCAGCCGAACTTGTAGTTGACGGCTTCACCCAAGGCTGGTTGACTGATATTCCACTTTTCACACTAACTGTAAATTACAAATTGTTAGGATCTTACAGTGCTCTGGAAACCTATCTGTCTAGCAACAAGAGGATTTGTGTTGTGAAAGTGCGATCATTTTCCAAAATAAACAAGCCAGAAAAATGTTTAGTTGAAATCGTTTTTAAACAAGCATTAAACTGCACAACACATATGATTTCATTATGCTGAGCCTGGAGTGGTTTATCAGAGGGTGTTGTTTGCAGAAGATCCTACATAGCTTAAAGATTAACTATACATCAATTCACCAGATGTTTCTGCAAGCCACATATATAGATAGATAAAGCGCGTTTGTTCCGAACTTGCAAAGGTATTCACCACAAGAGGAACAGGATTACGGTAATCCGGCTACAGGACATTTCGCAGAAATGCTGACTTAAGTTCAAATTAGGGCGTTTGTACCTAGCTTTTCGTGGTAGCTATGAGGTTATTTCGTCGTCTCGCCGTTCACCAGGTTTCTGGTTCCATTTCACTTGCAAGATTTTTATTGAAATTTGATTCCCTTGCTGAGTCATTTGTTGAAATGCGATTTGGTATTTGATATCTATTTTTACTGCTTTTGTTCGCATTTTTTTCCTTAAGATAACTTTCTTTTGCCTATTCCCTTACTTTTTCTGGTTGTAGATTCTATGAAGTATGTGCGTGAGCTCTGTAAAATTAAAATTTTTCCTGAATAATAGTCGTTTTTTCCTACTTTTTTCTTTGAACAAAACCTTAACCTGTGTTAAAATATACGCTGCAATTTAGAAATACTGGACTACGTAGCTATACAGCAAAGACTGAGAACAGATCAGGAAAAAACATTTCTGTTAATGACAAGAATGAAAATAGGATGAAATAAAAAATAAGCAAAACCCGTAGCATAAAAAAAAGTGGACAAATGGATTCTAAAGTAAGAAAGTTCTTTTTTTTTTCAACATTACCTTCCTTTTAATAAGTTTTAAGTAGAGAAAAAGTGAAAAACGAAACTGAAGAAAAAACTGTTCTTTTTTTTTAGGAAAAATTGCAAAAAAAAAGTGGTTGGAAAAAATAGTCAAAAGCTGTCTTTTAAAAGACTAATATGAGAGAGATACAGGACAAAAAAAAAACTATTGTTTTACTGATGTGCACAGTTTACCCGTTATCATACAAAAGGGTTCCTACGACAGCTGAAGAAAGATGGCAGTACATTTCATACAGGAAAAAGCATGGAGAACTTTATAATATAAAGTTTTCACACTAACTGCAGCAGCAGCTGAGGCAGGAAATTAATAGGAAGAGAAAACAGAATTTTTCATTTCTTCTTTTTTTTCTTTCGCTTCTATTTTTTTCTTTCTGTTCCCTTTTTAACCCGTTTGCTTTTGTAAACACTTTACACTGTTGAGTGAAATTACTAAATGACCTTTACAATTAAGCAATAAGAAGAATGCGTTTTTTCTTACATTAGAATCAACCAAGGTTCAGAATAAAAAAAAGAACAAGAAACCTTAAAGTTTATTTGCAGTTTCTTTCACTTTCTTTTTCTTTACGTATTCATATCCACGGCTAGACAACTTTTTCAGGCAGATTCCGGAAAGAAGAAGAGCCAGATTTGTAATTTCAAATTTAAGTCACCTGTACATTGACTCCAGCAGTTTGTTGTAAATTACACAATGTTTTCTGAATATCTTTCTTCAACTGTATACAGGATCCATTGTCTCTTTTAAAATGATGCCCTATCAATTTAGTTTTTCTATTTATCTTTCTTTGTTTCTGTTTCCTTTACTCTATATTTTTTTTAATATTTTCCACGTTTTTTCTATTCTTTTTCATTTGCTTTCTGTCCCTGTTTTTAATTTTACTTTTTTTTTCTGTTTTCACTTCTCTTATTTTCAAATATTAGTGATAATAAAAATTTCATTGAAGGCTAAGCTAATAAAATGTGAAACAATCAAGATTAATAATAAGAACGATGAGAATAGTAAAACTACAGTTTAAATGTGACTACGAAATGAAAAACAATAAAGAGTAAAATAATAACATAAAAGAATAGAATAATAACAAAAATAACAATATCCTCCACTGACGAGAAGTTCTCCAAAAGTACACTTATTTGTCTGCAGTTTAGAAGCAACTTATTTGATTTTGATGATTAGCAGTTTTGGCAATGTGCCATGTGGTTGGCATCATGCCAGAGAGAAGTTCGTCATGTCCGTGATTTAAATTGTCTCCGTGGTATATGCCCTTCGAATATCAGCGTAGGATTTCTAATTGGACATCTCTGTCGCAGTTTGGTTTAATTACCTTCGTTTGCCTGAGCATCTATAAGTTTATCTTCAACGTTTTATGATTTTAGTTGGTAATTATTTTCTTGAGAGGTATTGTAATTTTTATAGTCAACCTGAGTTTTTGGGGTAAATTTTTACTAAAACTTCGTGACTACCACTTTGAATTTTCTTAACTTTTATGACTGTTGATGACGTAAAAAAAGGTTGTGAAAAATTTTTAAAAATAATTTTATTTTTTATATCTTTAAAAGCACTCAGTTTTTTGAAACGTGTCTCATTAGGGATTTCAAATAACTAACATAAGAAATATAGGACGTATTCTCATACTGGCAAAAGTGTCAGGCATAACATAAGGTATAGCCAAAAATTCTATCCTAACTAAATCATTCGTTCTTTTTTGATTATTCTTTGATTTAAGTGGTAGGTCTTAGAAACCTGTTTGTGGACAGCTTGCTCTCTTTTTGCTTTTATACACTCAATTGTGTTAATAAACGGTACCATTTACAAGTCTAAAATCATATTTTATTTTTGTTTACAAGTTGTGATACTATGTGCGATTAGACAACGTGCGTTTGGAATTATATTCTTTACTAGTTTTAGATATTTTCGTATTTGAAACAGTATTCCGAAGTGTGAACTGGATGAAAGGAATGAAATTTGCGCTTTATACGTTAAAATAATGCTGAGATTTTGATCAGTGAGTGTAATTTTGGCTATTAAGTTTCCCCGATGGTAGCAGCTGTGTTCTTGTTATAATTGCTTGTATTTGACTGAGTTCTTGATAAGTAATTTTCCGCTTTTTTAGTTGAATAAACGATCTTACTTAGGGTTTACTTAAAACAGGGGCCTGCCGTTATTATGACAGACGTTCAAGGAGACGGAAAGGAATCTGACCAAAAAAATGTAATTTTAGAGGAACTTCCTGAGAACCTTATAAGGTAAGTTGTTGTTGTTCAACTTTTTCTTGTACATTATAACTGGTAAATCGGACATAGGTTGAAGTATTAGAAAGAAATCGTTTATTTGAGTGACAATAAGATGAATATAGGAACTCTGGAAACTCATTAGGTTTTGGCGTGTGTGTGTGTAAAAAAAAGTTTGCTTTTTGCCCGTGAAGCGGTTTTGTTTTTACTTTTTTTTTTTTTTTTTTTTTTTTTTTT